GTACACTTTTTAGGCAAAAATCAATAACCCCTTTACCCCAATCATTGTCAAATTCAACACCAACCTACCTTTAATAATACTCTATCCATAAAAAAAAAATTAAGCTTTATATCTCAAAATTTGCGGAAATTAGAGTAGGGTAGACCGGGGACAAAAGTAACATTTTGAGTTTAAGATTTTATAACAGTTAAAATATAATATTTACGTAAAAAAGACCTGTACCTTTAGATGTAGAATTTATTTGACTACAAAATTTTCTTGTGCTGAATTCAGTAATGTAACTAGGAAAAAAGTTATTATTGTTTAAAGAATATGAGGAATACTGTTACAACCGTCCCAACCCCCGGGACAATTGTAACAGCAGAGGGGAACGATTGTACCACATCATCTATAAACAAAATAATGGTTATTTAGTAGGTTTATGTAATCAATCTTACGAATTTTCTATAAAAAATGCAACTTTAATGATAAAATAATTTGTTACATGACAATATCAGTATTTTTACATTATAATAGCAAACAAAAACAAATAATACTGTTTTCTCAACTGAAAGATTATTTATAATCATATATATTTAAAGGGTTAGGTTAAGTTGAAGTTGTCCCCGAGCAACAGGGACAATTGTAACGCTACAACTATTTCCAGGCATTGATGTTACAATTGTCCCCTAATAATATTTTATGATTCGAAGTAAATTTTTTACATAAATATTTGGATGAAAGTCAATCGTATTATGCAAATCATCAACATAAATAATCACTAAAACATATAAAAATAAAACCTTATACCTTCGGCATAAAGAAAGAAAAATATTTCAGATTTTATGCACGTAAGAAAACTTACTTCAGGAAGGAAAAAAGTAATTTCTTCTCCTGCACACGTGCACGTTCCGCGAGGGGCGGCAATGAACTAAGGAACAAATGCCGCTCTATCTAGCGGATTTCGCCTCGCGGTCATACACACGTACCTTTTATAGTTTAAGAAATATTCACGATGTTACAACTGTACCCTGTTACTTTTGTCCCCGGTCTACCCTAATCATGTAGATTTTTTTAGATAGAAATCGGTAACTCCTTTATTATTAGCAATTTTTCTAATTCTATTATATTATTCAGTTTTTTCTACTTTTTTTCATATATAATTTTTTAAGATTTGGTTAATCAGTTTTTAAGTTATAGAAATTTCGATAGGCAAACACACACACACACACACACACACATACGGACATTTTATAAAATTACGATTTTCCGACGTTTTAGAACATTCTGAACACATTGGCATTAAAAACTAAAAAAAAAAAAAAAACAATTTTTTCTTTGGTCTTTTCTACCCCTATTTCATATATAATTTTTTGAAATTCAGTTGATTAGACCTAGCTTTATGTGCAATCAAAGGTCCATATACGAAGTTTATGAAAACAAAGCTTCCTCTATGAGGAAGCAAAAATGAGCATGATCCGTGTGGGGGCACATTGATCCTTCTTATCCGGCTACGGCCTTTAAAATTAAAAAAGTGTGCAAATTAGAAACTTGCACATTGCTTCCTCATTATTACAGATCGCTACCATTGTTTCTATTTTATTTTGCTCATAAAGCTTCCTCTATCAAAAAGTCAAACTAATAAATACTAATAATTATGCATCAAATAAAATACAAGCAATGGTAGCGATCTGTAATGATGAAGAAGCAATGTGCAAGTTTCTAATTTGCACACTTTTTGATCTTGTTTTTGAGTTATAACCATTTTGTGCTCCAGTAATTTACAGGTTGCTTCACAGGAAATAGCCATATTCGGTTTGTATTTGTAAACAGTGCTCAGTATCTCCTGAATATTTCTGGATCTTGTTGATTTCACATATTCTATTAAATGGAAGTTTTAATCAATCCCCTTAGGGTTACAATTCTCAACCATCACTACCCTTCTCCTCTCACTTAACCCTTTGGACTAACGGTTTAACGTCTGTTTCCGAAAGACGGAGCCCAGTTTTCTCAGCACGAGAGTCCTTTTCTCGCACGGAGGGCGCAGCTTTCGAAAATAAATTCCGTGTTTATGTGCTCAAGTGGAATTGAAGCTGGTTTCTCAGATTACGAGTCTGGCGCTCTATCACTAGACCACACTGCCGCCTCACATATTCTAACAATAACTGTGTTTTAAGTCCGACAAATAATCGGCGCGCAGTTTGTTGGAAAAATTATATGTATATATTAGAGCGTGTCATTTTGGGGCAACTTTTTTTTTTCATTTCACGAATAGCATATATACTTCCAGGAAGGTAAAATAAGATACCTGTTACAATTTTAGCCCTTAATATTAATATTAACAGATCGCTCATCGCGATTTTTTATTTTTTATTTAGTAAGATAAAAAAATTTTTATAACTATTTAACAAACAGTAATACAGCATTGCGCCACATAGATTTTCTGTAGTAAATTTACCGCTCTACAAATAAGATCTCTTATCATTTTTTCATAAATTCAACCGTTCAAAAGATATTCAAAGTTAAAGTTTGATAAATTTTATAAAACTTGTTTTTGCTTCTTATGAATGTTGTATCATATCGACTATCAAAAATTATGAAATAATCAATACATATTTTTGTAGAAAATTTAACGATCTACAAAAAAGGTCTCTTATATATTTTTCATAAATATAACCATTTAGACGATATTAAGGTTTAAAGTTCAAAGTATAAACCTTAATATCGTCTAAATGGTTATATTGTTGCGCTGCGCTTCGCTATCGCACAATCACTCGCGTTCGCGCCGCGCACTCCCGGACTCGTGTAATAAAAGAAGGTGAACACTTTATTACAAAAGAAACTCAAGTTTATTAAGAATTCTGTACAAGCGTTTCAGGTGGAGAATACGTCCGAACGATCGGAGTCTCCCCGTAGATCTCACAGTCGTCGTGAAAATCAATACATCAACAACAACCGGTCGTTAAGGACCGCGCTTCAACTTGAAGCTATTCGAGCGAAGTTTGGGCTCCTTGTGAGCGAAGTTCCGCGCGCAACGGGTGTCTCAACACGGGCGCAACAATATTTATGAAAAAAAATATAAGAGACTTTTTTTGTAGATCGTTAAATTTTCTACAAAAATATGTATTAAGTATTTCATAATTTTTGATAGTCGATATGATACAAAATTCATAAGAAGCAAAAACAAGTTTTATAAAATTTATCAAACTTTAACTTTGAATATCTTTTGAACGGTTGAATTTATGAAAAAATGATAAGAGATCTTTTTTGTAGAGCGATAAATTTACTACAGAAAATCTATGTGGCGCAATGCTGTATTACTGTTTGTTAGATAATTATAAAATTTTTTCTATCTTACTAAATAAAAAATAAAAAATCGCGATGAGCGACTTGTTAATATTAATATTAAGAGCTAAAATTTTAACAGGTATGTGACGTATCGGAGAGAATAACAGGATAATATGCCTTTTATGTCCAAAGAAGTCCTTTATTGCACACGTCGTCTCAGTATAATACAGCGTGAATGTTGCCGCGTAACGTAACGAACGAACAAAAGTAAGCAAATGATTTCGAAGCCTCGAAGCGCGCGTAAATTAGCAAGCGAGTACCCAAAATTCTCGACTAGAGGCGCGCGTAGGATCGACGGTCGATAATATATTTCTAACATCCTCTCACCTTGAGTTGTGAAAGGGTTATATACGATACAACTCAATAAGTCAAACAAATGAAAAGCTACACTTGTACAGAAAAAAAAATTATCTATCTTTGACTATGGCAAGACCTTAAAATAAAAACTTTAAAATAAACGTATAACAAAATGAAAGAATTTAAAATCCTAATCTATCTGGGGTCTTTACGAGTCGGCCGCTCCTAGTCCGGATATCCTTCGGAATCTCGGGGAAAGTAGGTCCCTTGTCTCCCTCCTCAGTCTGGTCTTGGTCGGCTGCATCGACAACATGCCCTGATATTGCCTCCGTTATCATCTCCAACGGATAGAGCCTTTGGACAGGTCGCACAAGCTCGCCAGTGGCAGTCTTTATTTTAACCACCCTTACAACATCATCTCGGCCAGGGAATACTTTTATCACTCGAGCTAACGGCCGATCCAACCGCTTCAGATTATCCTGTCCTAGTAGCATGATATCTCCCTCTTTGACTGTGGAATAATTTTTCTTGGTTCTGCGTTGAGACAATTTCCCCAAATATTCTGAGCGAAAGCGCCTCCTTAAATTTTCTCGTAGACTCTGACGATAACGCATTCTTCTGTTTAAATTGATATCCAGCTTGTCTAAATCTGGTACTTCACTCCGAGAATTTTCTTGCAGGAATATCATCGGTGTCAGAGGTCTGAGTTGTGTTGGGTCTTCTGCTAAATACGTTAATGGGCGCGAGTTGACAATGGCCTCACAGTCGCATAGAATTGTACTCATCTCTTCATATGATAAACAAGCCTTTCTTAAGGTCTTCTTGAGGAGATCTTTTACTATTTTTACTAAGCGCTCCCACCATCCTCCCCACCAGGCAGTCGTAGGAGGATTTAAACGCCAATCTATTCTCTGCACCGAGCTGAACTGTTGTATTTTACTCTAGTCAATTTTGCGGAGCAAATTACGAGCCCCGACAAAATTCGTCCCATTGTCCATGTAGACTATTGAAGGTCTTCCTCTTCTCGCGATGAATCTACGTAGGATTTGTAAAAAGGCTTCTGTAGAAAGAGACGTGGTGAGCTCCAGATGAACTGTCCGATAGACAGCACAGGTAAATAAGCAAACCCACGCCTTCTGGGACTTTCTCAAAAACAGTGGTCCTATATAGTCCATTCCTGTGACTTCAAAGACGTTGGCGTCTTTCACGCGTTCATTCGGTAAATTGTCTGGAACTGCATCCATCTTGCGTACTCTATATTTCTTACATATCAAGCAGCCATCAATTACACCTCGTACAGCCTTTCTGCAAGCAAGTATCCAGAACCTCTTCCGTAAGTCGCTCATTGTGATCTGAGTTCCTGCGTGCTGGAGCTGTTAATGTCTGCACTCGATTAATTTCTTCACCAACGGATGCTTCGGATCCAGTATTATTGGATGTCGAAAATCGTGTCTATCTTCGCGGTTGACCACAGGTGATTTTAGTCGTATCAACCCACTCTCATCTTCGTACACGTTTAAGGTGCTTAATCTTGACTCTTCTATACCTTCAAATGATTCTTGCTGACTTAACTTCAAAACTGCAAGCTCAGCAGCAGCAAACTCTTTGGCGGTCAGCTCATTTGAAGATCTTGAAGTTCGTGAGACTCGACAATTGGAAATGAAGCGAGTAATCCATGCCATAACTCTTACTACTTTCAGATACTTGGACTGCTCCCCCATGTACCAACCTTTTTCGGGTAAGCACGCGTTGTTCACCAGTATGTTGTCCGACGAGATCTCTTCTTTACTTCGACGTACTAATCTCTTTGTTTCGTTGTCAACCTCCGCCTCATTTATGTCGTATTTGCTTGAAGGCCAATGTTCTCTGGATAGCTTCAGCCAAGCCGGGCCCTCCCACCATCGCGATTCTATCAATTGTTTAGCTTTGCATCCTCGCGAAAGTAAATCAGCAGGATTTATAATCCCAGGCACATGATGCCACTGACTGGGATTCGTCAACCTGCGTATTTCCTTTACTCGATTGGCTACGAAGATGTTCCATGGTTTATTTCGTTGTATCCACGCCAAGACTGTAGTGGAATCTGACCAAAAGAAGACATCTCCTTCGCAATCCAAAGCATTCTTCTTCGAGAACCATAACCGAACTCCAATTAAGGCAGCAAGCAATTCCAATCGAGCAATTGTTAATTTGTCTACTGGTGCTACTCTAGATTTAGCCTCGATGAGCTGCACATAAACGTTTCCGGATTCTTCTGATCGTGCGAATAAAACGGCTGCGTATGCATTTTGACTCGCGTCCACAAATACGTGGAAAGTTAAGTTTCTGGACTTTTCATTTCCTCGAAGAACCCGACGTGGAATGCGTAATTCCCTTAGCCAATGAAGTTGCTGCTGCCACTCGTCGAATTCGCTCTTTACGTCCTCCGGTACTTCCGTGTCTCAACTAAGTTGGATCTTCCAGAGTCTCTGTAACAATAGCTTAGCCTTTAAAAACACGGGGGATGCTACTCCAATAGGATCAAATACTCGCTGAGCTGCCGACAATATAGTTCTCTTCGTGACCTGTGATGTTGTACGCGGTTCCAGTAACGACGGAGCTAACCCTAGGGTATCGTCTACTTTGTTCCACAGTAGACCGAGAACTGAGGTCGTCATCTCTGGTTCGGCTTGTCCGGTATATTCCCAGCCTCGTAAGTCAAATTTACCCTTAGCCATAACTTTCTTCGCCACATCTTCGAATCGACGTACTTCGGCCTCCGAATTGACGCTGGTTACACAGTTGTCCACGTAGAATGACTTTAACAACTGTAATATAATCATCTTTTCTTCTTCCGTTTCGACCTCTTGTAGTAGTTGCTCTAAGTAGTACTCTATAGTCCCTGCCAATAAAAAGGGACTGCTTGACACCCCGAAGACTACTCTTTTATGTCTGAACACGTCTATCTCTTCAGAGCAGTTCTTCTTCCACCAGAGAAATCGCAGTACATCTCTATCTTCTTTCGAGATACTTATCTGCAAAAAGGCCTTGCGGATATCTGAGATTACTCCAATTTTTCCTTGTCTAAAACGTAGCAATGTATTTGGTATTTGCTCAATTAAGTTAGGGCCTGTTTCCAAACATTGATTGAGCGACACTCCATTCTTCCCAGTAGCTGAAGCGTAAAATACAGGCCTTATCTTCGTGGTGCTGTTTTCCTTAACCACATGTCTATGAGGTAAGTAATAACTTTATTTTATTACTTCTTCCTCAGAAACCCTTTCAATGATGCCTTCTGCTAGCCATTCATCGAATACTTCTTGATAGCTATTATAATAACCTTGACTCTTGAGTTTCTTCGTAGTAGATTCAAGCCGACGTTCAGCAGCCTCCCAGTTATCAATTAGTGGTAAATGGCCTTTCCATGGCAGTAGAACCTCATATCGATCATCAATATCCAACTTGATTGTTTGCAAAAAGTTCTCTTTTACGTCTGCTTGATGCTCATCCTTTGTTTTCTTCAAAGCAGGATCGGTAATGCCGAGTGTATCCAGTCTCCATAAATCTGCTATATTGGCCTCCTGATTGAACATGGATATAATCATGAGAGCTGTATCTTTTTCTCGCTTCGATTGGATGCTTGTTTTTCCCATCAAAGTCCAACCAAGCAATGTTTCCATAGCTACAGGTCCGCATTTCAGTTCTCTTCGTCTGCCCGTCAAAAGTCTACCTACGACATCCGCTCCAATTAATAAGGCGATAGGTTCATTCTTCTCATCAACATCAGTAAGCTTTATCCCTTGTTCTTGTAGCTCTTGCAACCATGGTCCTTTGCCTACAGAAGGGACGCTTTGACAAATTATACGATGATTTAATGCCACGAAATTACAAGAAAATGAGCCGTCCAAACTTTGTATATGGATGCGGTATCCCTTATGTGACTGCGGTTTCGTCTTCGAGCCGCCGAATAACATGTGTACAATCTCTTGTTCACCTACAATCTCAAATCCTAATTTTTCAGCGTGAGAATTGAGTACGTATGATTTATGTGATCCTGTATCAAAGATGGCTCTGATTATTCGTTCTCTTCCTTGATTGACCAGCTTCACACGAATAGTTTGTAAAAACACCTCACAATCGAGTGAAATGTTCGCGAAATTGGCTTGCTCCTGCGTCTTGACAAGTTCTTCCGGGTGACTTTCCGAGGTCGCACTCGTTGTCATATTGCAACACATGAGCAATACATGTTTCTTGCCGCACCATGCGCATTTTTCCTTGTATCGACAGAATTTAAAACTGTGCCCTGTTTTTAAACAATAAAAACAGGCACTTTTCTCTTTCACAATCTTCTGTCTTTCTTCGTAAGACATTTTCTTCGCCTTTCCACACGAAGCGCTCTCGTGATTTTGTCCGCAGAAGATGCAGACATGCTTGTCTTCCTTCGTCGAAAGAAGTCCGGCAGCGGTAGGTATCGCTTTAGACTCAGCCTTCCCTTTCTTCTTTGATTTGTCAGAATTTGCAGCTTGTTCCTCATTCAGGCCAAATCCGCTTACCGCCATGGCAATTCTTTCCTCGCTTAACACTTCGGCTTGAAGGAAAAGCATTAATTCTTTGAGACGTTGTTTTGATGTGGTTGCGTTAATAGCCTTGGGATTCCTTTCCCATATGCGTAGGAGATCTTCCGGAAGTGATGATTCCACCAGCGGGTAGAGCATCGCCGCACACATCTCCGTTGTGACTCCTAACGATCCCAAAGCTCGCAACTGAGACTCGAGTCTATCATAAACTCTCGATAAAAACGTATTAGTATTACTTAGTACTAATTTAAGCATTTCACGTATATAAACTTCTACAAGTAAATCTTCTCTACCAAATCGATTTTTCAGGCTCGTAATTACCTTATCATAATTTATCGCTGTCGGTGGGAAACTATTAACCAATTCATATGCTCGCGAGTCTTTCACCATTGCCTGTATTAAATATTGAAATTTATCTTTCTTGGTGATCGACGAATCTTCATGGATGTTTTTGAATAGGCTCCAAAATTGCAGCCAGTCTTTAAGCTCTCCACTAAATTTCGGCAGTTCTATTTTAAGCAATTTAAAGGTGCGTGCGTTATCTCTATTAGCCTGCCCTGTCTGAGCGATATTCTGTGCCGGAACCGCCGGTTGCGTAGGGTCTACTATATTGTTTACTGCAACCTTGGCTTGTTGATACTTTACTCGGTATTCGTCGGATGCCTCAGTCTCACTCATAAGCAGCTCATCACTCGCGTCGTCGTTAATCATAACCTCGAAAATTTTTTGGTTAAGTTCCTCAAGTTCGTTCGCTTTTTCTCTTACTAACGCGAAGCGTACTTGTATCTCTTGTAATTGCGGTGTTCCTCTCGCCAATTCTGTATTCAGGAGTCCCCAATTGCGAGTAAACGACGTCCTCACGACTGCACGTGTTTTCTTCAGCTTTTCCATCGTAGCGTATAACCATTCTCTGTCTGACACTTCTACGTCACGAATACTAGAGTCCTGTCACGGTCGCCAAAATGTGACGTATCGGAGAGAATAACAGGATAATATGCCTTTTATGTCCAAAGAAGTCCTTTCTTGCATACGTCGTCTCAGTATAATACAGCGTGAATGTTGCCGCGTAACGTAACGAACGAACGAAAGTAAGCGAATGATTTCGAAGCCTCGAAGCGCGCGTAAATTAGCAAGCGAGCACCCAAAATTCTCGACTAGAGGCGCGCGTAGGATCGACGGTCGATAATATATTTCTAACAAGGTATCTTATTTTATCTTCCTGCAAGTATATATGCTATTTGTGAAATAAAAAAAAAAGTTGCTCCAAAATGACACACCCTAATATATATATACAGAAACTAATATAAGGCTGTCAAAGATCTAGGCTTGGATCGCATGGCTTTTGATTCTAATTTGTTTGTATATTGTTACGATCCTATTTCTCTTATTATTATCTATTAATTGAATTTACTCACTTTAGTTCATTCTCTTGCTAGAAGCACTTAAGAGGACTGATAATTGTAATTCAACTGAAGCAAGACTTCTATACGCGGATCTTTTTTCAAGTTGATATCCATAAGATAAAAAACATTTCAAAGATTACATAAACGTCTATCAGATACAGGTTCGTTTAAAAAACAAGTGTCAGACGGTGACAAACCATAGTGTGTGAAGTATTAATCTCGAAAAGCGGATTTTGCAACATGTTGAAGAAAATGCTGGTACCAGTACCCGAAGAATAGCAGCAATAAAAAACTTCAGACAGTGAAAAGTTTTGCAACAGCAATAGTTTTATCGTATTATGTTCAACGTGTACAGGCTCTAAAAAAGATGATTTTTCTTTAAGAGTTTTTTTCTACTTGATTCCTGCAGATGTTTATTGCCGATCAACATTTTCTGTTCACTGTATTATTCACTGACAAAACTACATTCACCAGAGATGGAATTATCAATTTTCATAATATTCATCATTAAACCGAAGAAAATCTACATACTATTTCTCAATCAAGTTACAAACAATAATTGAGGAAATGCTTTGATACAATAACTGTAAGTTTGCATACAGACTGAAGAAGGCCCCATTTTAAACACATCCTATAAAGATAAGTAGCTGTAAATTACTGGAGCACAAAAATGGCTATAACTCGGAAACAAGGTCAAAGAGGTGTAAATATACAAAGTAAAGTATTTCCGTGGATGCGCAATGGATGGCCATATGGCAGTCGTGAAGGGAAAAAATTTGATTGGCTTTTGATTAGCTGCTTCAGTTGGGTTCAGCCGCAATTGTACGCAATACTTTACCGGACATATGTTTATATGAACTATTTTCATTGCATTTGTGTCTCCTATCTGGTGCTCAAGTAGGTCCTACATGCTGGGAAACACCTTTATATATACAGATTATTGTAGTATTTATATTGTTACATATACAAATTGTCACAGTATTTAAGCTTAGCAGTGTATATTTCTATATCTATTGGTATGATAAAAATATGTTTATTTCTATATATCTACCAATAAATAAAATTTGAAAATAAATTATTGTTAAATAATAATAGTTATTGTTAAATAATAATATTAAATAATAAAAGCAAAAAAAAATGGGTGAATGAAAATTGCTTATTAGTTATATGAATAGAGAGTATCACATAAATAATATAAAATAACAAAAAAAGCAAAAACAAATATTAAGCAAGACAGTAATAGCAATGTGTATTTGAGTGTGTATTATAAATTATAAACCACGTAATCTTTTAGTATATTTATTTATCAGCATTTTTTATATCTGATACTAGATAACAATATAATAATATGATAAAATTCATAAGTATGGCTTATAATTCATAATATAGTTATGCTACTAAATTAAATATGAGTTAGCAATATACGAGACATGAGACAGCAATAACTATTATAGTACTTCAGCTGATACCTCCAATTTAAAAGAAATTTTTAAATACTGTAATATATCATTCAAAATAGAAAATGTTTAATAAAAGAATACAACTTACTTAATGCTAAAGATATTTTTACAACAATACATTTGGTTAAATAAATGAGAAACTAGAAATATGAGGTATCATACATATATGTATATCCAGCAAAAATTATACTTTATAGAATATTTTATTGATTGACTTATGAAAAATTGTCTTTTACTTCATGTATAAAGTATATCAAATGTATGTATCAACTGAAATACCATATTATGAAAAGTGATATTGTTGTACTAACCCAATGTTGTTGTGCATCTAGCTGTTCTATAGTCAAGCCAAGAGAATCCTATGAGTGTCATAAAAATATTTTCAAAGATACCAACAACCACAAATTATAACATCAATGATTTATACATATGTCATAGCTTTGACAGTGTATACCTTGTTCCATTATTGCCACATTGAAGAAGTCACATATATTTGATAATATAAAATGTATTATATACATGAAATTAATAAAATGGTTAAATTAAAATTATTATTTTTTATAGAATTTTACTAATTTTATTAATTCTATTAATTATATCACTATAATTTATGCAAATATTTAAAACATACCAAATATACAGTATTTCCTTAGTAAGTACAAAAAATTATAGGGGATATTCCGTGACTTATTTTAGAAAGAAAAAGTTCTATAAGCATATGCCATAAACTGTTTCATTTTCAAAATACAGTATAAAATGTCAAAATTGTGAACAAAAAAAAATTTAGAAAATCTTTAAAACATTTAAAGATATTTTATTCAAATTTGATATGCGTACATCTGGTATCAAGTACCATTTTCCATTACAATAAAAGATTTTTGGGTCCACCAGGGACATGCGTCTTTGACACCCTGTATTCTAAAAACAAAGCCATTTTGTATATATGTTTATAGAACCTTTTCTTCCTAAAATAAGCCATGGAATATCCCCTTTAATTTTTTGTACTTACTTAGAAAACACACTGTATGTTAAAGAACTTTGCACAATTTATATAAAAGAAACGTTTTTAGTCAATTTTTGTGAATTTTTCTCTTTCACATTTATTGTAGAAAGCACTCTCTTGAGTAAGGAAGCTTCAGAAGGTTTTACCTATTGCTCGTTGTTTATTAAAAAGTTATGAACAAATATAATTGAGAAATATAACAGTTTGTGTCAGTACTAAGGGAAGTACTTTGCTGATATATGTGTGTATAGACCTCAGATAGTAGTACACTTGTAGGTAGGAGTGAGTGGGAGTAAACCTCGGTTCGTATGGAAAACTGAACCGAACAATGATAGACCTTGTTTCGCCCTGTAAGCAGGAGTGCTGATATGTGTGTATAGACAGTACACATGTAGGCAGGGATAGGTGGGGACCTCGCTTCGCGTAGAAAATTTAAAACTAAAGGGCTTCGCCTCTTCCCCACATAAAAAACTAATCTAACTCCAAGCTTATTTCTAAAAATTTGGAATTAAAATTTTTTTGAAATAGGCTTAGAGTTAGATTAGTTTTTAATGCGAGGGGCAAAGTCCTGGATGAGGTAATATTGTTTGCAATAAATTCTTCACAGTTATTTAGTTAAATCAAATCTATTTAATTACAGGGAGGGAGAGGTTTTAATGTACCGACAATAACTGTGTTTCAATCCGACAAAAAAATTGGATTAAATATACCGAACAAGAGACCCACCTCCGATGATCTTGACCTTGACATATGTTGTCAAGGACATGACCCTGAGTAATTTTTTCTAATAACTTAATCGTCGCATTGTTTATTTAAAAGTTATGAACAAAAAAGTTTGAAAAATATAGCAGTTATTTTGAGTACTAAAAGGTACAAACGACTAATGTATGTGGAAATAGTACATGTATGAACAAAGGAAAGTCATTTAAAGTAGTGAATCGTTAATACATGGAATAGTCTTTTTGTTAAAGCAGAAAATAGTTAGCATAGAAAAGAGTAAAAATGAAGATAAAAGGAAACATCTCCAATGATCTTGACCTTGACATATGTTGTCAAGAACATGACCCTGAGTAAATTTTTCTTATAACTTAATCGTTGGTCATTGCTTATTTAAAAGTTATGAACTAAAAAGTTTGAGAAATATACAAGTTTGTGTCAGTACTAAAGGAAGTAATTTGCTGATATATGTGTATAGACAGTATACATTTAAGCGGAGGTGGATGGAGGTGGACGTTGGTTTGCGTGAAAAGTTGAAAACCTCAACCGTACAATGATAGACCTCGTTTCGCCTTATAAACAGGGGTGGAGTGGGATAGAGTGGATCTCGCTTTGCGTGGAAAGTAGAATGCTGTTCGCAGAACCATCTATGCAAAGCAAGGCCCACCCCACTCCACCAAACCCCTGCTTACAGGGCGAAATAAGGTCTATCATTGTACGGTTTAGGTTTTCAACTTTTCATGTAAAGCTCGCGGTCCATCCCCACCCATCTCTATCTGCGGGAGAGCGGCGGCAGTCCCTCTCTCGCCTACATGCAGTGTACTGTACGTCTATACACACATATCAGCAAATTACTTCCTTTAGTGTCGACACAAACTGTGTTATATTTTTCAAATTTTTTTGTTCATAACTTTTAAATAACCAATGAGCAACGATTAAATTATAAGGAAAAGTTACTCAGGGTCATGTCCTTGACAACATATGTCAAGGTCAAGATCATTGGAAGTGGATTTCCTATTCGGTATATTTACCCAAAGAGCTAAGCTCGGACCGTAAATAGCATTTTACTCTAATTTGACAAACTGTTATATTTCTTAACTTTTTTGTTCATAACTTTTTAATAAACAACGACGGCTAAAAACCTTCTGAAGGTTACTCAGGAGAATAACATTTATAATATATGTGAAGGTCATTGATCGAAGCAGGCGAGTTTGTAAGGGTAAATATTTGTTTCAACTTTCTATGATTAGTTTCTGAGTTATAGGCATTCAAAAATCGCATTAATTTACAAGACCATCCATATGTTTG